TTATCCCTTTAATCCAATTAGGATGTTTAGAAAAAATTCACTCTGTGATTCGGGGTACGTCCTCGAAAATGATGTTATATTTTGGATTAAGTGTCTCACCCAGTTTCATTTCAATTGTTTTGACAGACAATTATAAGCAAAAGATTCTTAGAAACTGTTGTTGTGGCGAGACAGGAAAGCCTAAAGCGTTATATTTCATCAGAGCTTCAGGACCTGAGGTTCCAGATGAAGGAAGGGCAACTGGCTTGTGGAAATGTTGATACAGCAAATGGGACTCAAGATACCTCCAAGAAAAAAATAGAGCCATTAAGCAGCTCATTAAATTAAGAGGTGGATCCATCAAACGATGAAAGCGTGGATAAATTGCTACAAACATGTGAAGAACATCGCAACTTTTTTCAGAAGATGTTTGAAGGTCTCATCAAAGTGACTGCCGAGGTTGCGCAACAAAGTGAAGATAATGTAAAATGTATTCAACAACTTTTGGAATATACTAAGGAACTCCTGCGAGAAGAAATAGCACTTTTCTTGAAAATCGAATTGGTATGTACTCAAAACCAACTCTCGGACGAGAAACACGGGGATCGAATTGAAGAATTACAAAAATGGAAAACGCAACATGAGGTGCAATTCAAGGAAGTTGAAAAGCTTCTGTCAGGACTGCTTTATCAAGGGAAAATGGAGAGAAGGCTGAGTGATAAACAGAGGCTGGTAATTTCAATGGACTAACATTTTGTCACTTTAATTACTTAATATTAAATGCAATTTGTAATTGAATTTTAAAAAACTCAGTGGAGGAAAATCACGAAACAGTTACTTTAGGGCTAAAGCTCGAAACGTCAGCTTTTTAACTCATTACGGTGGCCAATTTACAATTTCATCTTAGTTGGTATTACCAAATTACCTTGTTACCCCCACCGACGCAGCACCACAGTTTCTTTAGAAACTTACCCCTCTTATTCATTCTGTTGATGTTACGTAACTGGGTAAGCCGGCATCATAGCAAATATGAGCCATTACAATGCGCTCAATATCTTTGTTCGAATCTGGTTAAAGTTGTCATATTGCTTTTGTCGTCTGTTTTCAGGACAGAGGCTTAAAGTTTATGTTTAGATTTAATTATATTTTTGTTTCGTAGAGTTCCCGACGTTCTTCAGAATGTGACCTTCCAAAAGAGACTAAAACAAAGGTATGATGTACTCGTGTTTGAAATACCTCCATCATGCTAAGAACGTTAGAAAAAAGTTAAAGGTTTTTAAGTTCAAACACGAACAGAACTTTTCTGTGACCCAACAACGTAAACTTGGCCCGCAGTGTCGGGAAGAAAATTGCATTTATCATGAACACGAATGATTAATTATTGACCTTAGACACCAAAATGAAATGCTAAACATTCAGCTCTGGAAGGCAACCGTAAGTACGGAATTCATATACAGCTTAACTTTTGCGTTGGAATAATACTATTAGATTTTAAAAGTATTTTTAAAGCCTTGTGGTAATCCATATACAGTTGTGTTCTTCACTGTTCTTTTCCTTCATCTTCTATATTTTCTTGGTTGTACTATGATAGAAGTATCTCCATAAGAAAACAGCAAGAATGCCAACACAACTAATAAAACTATTTTTTTCTTTATTTTCTTTTCCTCATGGTTCAAGAACCTCTTGTTGAGGCTGCGATCGGGAGACAAAAAATCTTGCTTCCTTCTCTCGATCTCAAAACCTTCCAGCGATAAAGAACATTAAACCAAGGATTCGGGAGGAAGAGATAACACAAAAGAACTCATAGACTGGCATTATTTAAAATAATAATAATAATAATAATTAAAAAAAATTGAAATTGATTCGAATAACCTCTTATATGGAAGCCCTGTTGCGAAAGATATTGAAAGGGGCACAAGAACAACTTTAATATTGTTTATCACTCATTTTATTGACGCTTGATTACGAGAAGATTTAGAAGACCATATGTTCATTTGAAATATATAATGTTAAAAAAATAAGACTATCACTAACTGACAGAAGCAATTACTTGTTCGCCTTGTTATAAAGGTGAATTAGCCTTTCTGGCATAGTTGTAACTACCTGAAGTCGAACATGAACAAAAATTCGTAAGCACACGACAAACTATTTAGCTGATCAGCTTTCAGTATTTTTTTTAGATTATGGGAGTGTTTGACTATTCCCAAAACATAAAGATAGAACCCTTCTAAACTTAAATGGTGATTGCTATTTCTTGCATTCATGATCATCAGTTATACTTTAATTCCGTTACAAGTTTCTCCAACTAACTTTGTTGGCCAAATACTCTCTTCCGGCGCAATAAAGTTCACGTACGTAGGTATGCGTATGAATTTAAAATTTTTCGTGCCCTTAAAGTGAAAAAATAAAATTGTTCGGGTTCTCACCTCATCCCGACTACATATTATTACACCTCAATAATCAACAGAAATCTGATTTTTTTTAACAACAATTTCTTATTGAAGTTCACGCTATTACCAGAAATAAAATCGAGATAGACTTGGAGACGAAAAAACTTACGCGTTTAATCTTTGAATGTGTGATCTTCGCTAATTTTGACATGTAGAAGTAACCTGGTAACCTGCCTCTGTACAAAAAATATTAGCTCACACACTAAATATTTTTTATCACGTCTTTGACGCCACTTTCATATTCGATTGTTGATTTCCTTGCTTGTTTAGATTTAACTTTTCTGAAGTTGACGAATATGGAAAAAGGTTACTTTTGTGTTTATCACTAGAGCCCTTCAATTTATCATAAATTAGTGAAGAGGCACTGCCGGCCGAGTAAGCTGATGGGGGTCTGAGAACGGGAATGTTCTTATTACTGTACATGGGTTTTTTTCCTAGTTGAAGGGTTAAAGATTTATAAAATGGGTAATATGCAATTAAGGCGGGACTTAACCTAAATTTCGACTCCAAAATGCAATTTTTGTTTTTTTCAAAAATCTGAAGCTTTAGGCATTGAGGAAAGTCATGACAAGTGTTTTACGATCCTAATTGATGTGTTCTAGTGTTTGCGAAACGTTTTCTGTGGACTAGTTAAAAAAATTATTGTTAGCATGCCAACGCAAAGTAGCATTTTTCCGTTGTACTCCAAATCCAATTCCTATAATTTGTGAAGGAATTATAAGAGGACGTTATATGATCATTTACACAACAGTACATTTCTCTGAAGCTTTATGGGATCAAAAGAAGCATGATTGATGGCATCAAGAGAGAGCAAGTTTGAGGGTTAATATATCAGTGAAGGTTTTGTGTGAAATGCCCGGAGGTAAAAAGAATACTGTATACAGAAAAAAAAGGAAAGGGAAAGCTTTTACTGGAGCTCAGAGATACGGGAAAATAGCGAAAGAAACGCCACATGTGGATGGAGAAATCGGCGATCCTACTCAGAGTTCCTTGTGTGATCAGACACCAACTGATGCGGAGTGTGATCAAACAATTTGTGCTTCGAGACAGAAAATGAGGCGAGAAGACGCTTCGGACATTTCATCGGAGAGTGTTGATGATGAGAAAAATTTTCAGGGAGAGGGATACAGGCTTGTTGATCTGAAGAAATTATCTGCCGCATTGTCTGAAGCACATGTGTGCAAAGAAGGTGAGAAAATATTACGAGAGTTCATTTTTCTGCTCCTAACCATTTCTTTATTCATCACTGTTCATATCAGGTAGCACATATTGAAAGTTTTTTATTTATTATTTTTACGATTATTTTGTTTCTCTTGAATATAGTCTTCCCTTGATTGTTATCCTTTGTACTCTTTAGAATCATCATCATAAATTACAGTTGTAACTCAAGTTTGTTGTGGTGTGTGCTGAATAAAATTATTGTTTGCAAATGTAAAAATACACATGATTTAACCTTATTCTACACCATCATCATATTCTAGGTTGTTTAACTGTCGAAGAAAATTTTTCTGGGAGAAATGGGCTTCTGGCAGACCCCTCTTTGGAATGTAGCTTCTGCCTTGAAGCTACACCACTAGAAACATCAGCCAGGATAACCAAGAGAGGACAATCTTTTGATATCAACAGGAGTGCTGTCTATCATTTCTTGGAGACAGGAGGTGGTTATGAAGGTTTGGTATCATTTTGTAGCATTATGAACATGCCATGTTTATCACTACCTGCCTATTATAAACAAGTTCATACCATACTTGAGCCTCTGAAGCCAAAGAAGAAATGAGGCAAGGATTTCAAATGATGCGAACAAGCAGAGAAGAAGCCCTACGGGAGGCTGAGGGCACAACTTATGAAGCTGGAGCCTTCTAGGTGACTGAAATAAACATTGCAAATGTTTCAACCACTTTGTGGCCATAAAACTTTGGGGAGACAATCGTCTATTCAGCTTTTTAACTCGGATACCTCTTTTCACAGAAAATGCTTTTTGCGCATTCTAGAGAACATATCTCATATGGTACTTAACTGATTGACTTGAAATTTTTACCGTTTATTTCTTTCAAGGGTTTGTTGGGGTTACACGGGAAGGCTGTGTTTTGTGTGACCTCTATTGCCACAGTGAAACTGCCCAGGGGAAATCGCTATGGATACATAAAAAGAAAACAAAAGAATTACCCATGACCTTTCCCGAACCAAGTCGTAGCGTTTAGCAGTGGTTTATCTAACCACAAGAGTAGTTCAACCAGTCGGATGGAAGAAAATAGTAAATCCGGTAACCGCAGCACATGCTGGGCATTTTTGTGGTGTTGCGCTGAAATCGCGGCAAATCCTCGCAAGTACCAAATTCAAGACACGCGGCATCAGACATGGCCAACTTTCGAGGTTCACATTAAGTATATTTTACTCGTTTTTGCTCTGAATACTCCAATAAAAACCATAAGTTTCGCGGTTTGCGATCTCCATGATGAACTAATTTCCCGCCAAACTGTGTTAGGTCAAAAGATGACCTCGGGTAATTGTTTGCAATGTAAACGGAGGATTAAACCTGACCGGAAATCCAAACACATCCCAACCCAAGGTTATTACCCACAGGGTTAGCTCGGGAAGGAGGTGAGTGTAACCACAGCTATTGTTTACATGAAAGAGATAGGTATGCTATAAAACACTAATCAACATGTTTTGGTATAATTATCCATTTCATCATGATTTCCTGAACAAAATAATACGAAAGGTGATCTTAGAAGTGGTCTGGGGATACAAAATTGTGCTATTCTATATGATATTTGCTCCTTAACATGATAACAATCAGTTTGAGAGACGTTTGAAAATTAATTGACATTGCACTTGTACACGTCAAAGGGGGAAGTTTTAAAAAGTACTGAAGGGTAATTGGTTGACAGGGATTAGTTATAGTCGGACGGTTCACAGCGTGAAGGGGCCTTTTCCGGTCAGGATCTTGATTAGTTGTTACTTTCAGTAAGATCTGTCTCTAACCAGATCAAGTTATAAAGATATACAACTCCCTTATTCATTGCATTGAAGGGATTCGATCAAACCCCCTCACAGGAAGGAAGTTAAATTACTATGCTGCGCGTTAGCTGCCTCTAGGTTGAGGTTAAATATCTTTAACTCGTTAAGAAACCACTAACATTTAAACTCACCTGATGTGGTTTACGGTGGTTTACGAAAGGAACGGGAAGACAAACGTAGCACCTGAAGAAATATTCATTTATGCCCGGTCGGAAGATGATAGTCAAATAGAAGAAGCAATTTGTACAATCAGCACCGAGGACGAGCTTGGACATGCTCCCAAACTCGATGGTGCAACTCTCTTGAACAATGACACTGATTCACGAGAGGACGGCAGAACTTCGCTTCCGAGACAAAAAACAGAAGCCCATGACGGAGAAAATGGTTCCTTGGACACCAGGGAAACAAAGTTGAACGAACGCGAATCTGACCAATGTGTTGAAATGAGAAGTAAGTTTCCTAATATAAAATAATAAATATTTAGTTGTTCGTGCCAATAATAATCAAAACATCTCACAATAACAATGAGTGCTTGAATACCTATCCCTGCTTAATACCGCTCAGAAATTTCAATTCCTAACAATTTCGATTTCTAACTAAATAGTTATTTGCCCGAGGACCTTTAGAATCAAAACACCCCCTATTTCTGCACGATAAACCCTTTTGAAACTTTTTGAAATCTCCTTGTTAGTTGTTGAAGTCTGTTGTCAGTTTGATGACACAATATAACAAGCACTCGCCAGTAATTTAACTGTTTAAGAGTCAGACGTTTAATGTACAGTAAACTAAGTCTGATGATGCAAACTTCTTATCAGCTTTTTCCATATTGTTCGTAAAGTACGACCCTTTCGGTATTTTGAGTATATCTAAGGACGTTTGTCAATTTGGTTGATATTTTGAAATATTGAGTGGTTCATCTTTATTCATCAGTCTGGGGTGATATTTTAAGTCAACGGACAAGTTTGGACGCTGAGTCATATCCTTACCGACTTAATCATGAATGTTCGTTTGTTAGTGGCATGAAGTATGAAGATATTGCTGTTCTTTTTACCTTGAAATCTTTCGAAAATGCTTTGTGAATGGGAGCACAGTCGATTGAAGTAAAAAATATGTGATGCATGAAATGAAGATAATGCAATATACGTGGAATCGAATATTTTAGCCTCAGTCAGATCATGAAGGATCTAAATAAGATTAGAATTCTTGTTCTCGTGTTGTTTCCTCGCGATGTAATATTCTGCAATCCAATTTCAGTCTCAAATAAGAGCTTTGCAATATTTGCCGGACACTTCACGTTTAACATTCTTTGAATTTTTTTGTGATATCATCATTGACTTCTAAATTTTGACTTTGCGTGAACAGTTCAGTTGCCTCTTAAGTTGTCAAGTTTTCTCAACAGCACTAGAACCTGATGGGTGACATCCTTGTGTAGGGACGGCCGAAACTGCAAACAAAACATTCATTTTTGTCATTTAATGAAAAGGGAAGCGGAGAGGAAGACATTTGAGAATTTATACAAATTTTAACACTTTGGCAGTTTAAAGGGACACGGTCATGGTCTGCACATGCTCGTGTAGCTGATCGAAACTTGAAAAAGTCATCCTGACTTTTTAAAGTTGCATTCACAAATTCAAAATGGCGTCTAGCGGAGGATGCGGACATGGCGGTAAACGCATCAACTCAGGGCGGAAACGAAAGGTTGAAGACAGAGGGGAATACAAGAAAGCGTGGCTGAGAAACTATAAGCGTATTTATGTGGAACAAAAGACATTTAAGTTGTGGCTGCAGGCAAAATTTGATGCAGGTTGAGTTTTTTAGTGACAGCGATTTTACTGATACGAAAATAAAATAATGCCAGATATCACAGACATTTGTAGCAATTGCAAGGCAGATGTTTATTCTACTACACATTATAAATGGAATGCAGGTAAGCCTCAGGCGAACTCTACGGCTTTCATAAGTATAGGCAGATGACGACTGCTCGTTCGAATCCTGAAGAAAGGGAATACACAAATTATTTCGTACGCTTTTTGGACCTTCAAGCCACAAAAGAAGTGAATGTATACAACTTTATATGCATGTATTGAAATTTATATTCATACCCCGTTTCTGCAAGGTTTATTGCTTGTTCCATATTTACATTCATCTGTACACAGCACGTTTCTCCCTTTGTACGGGCACCCACGAGAACTATTTTCTTTGCGCTTCGTTGTACAAGCACTTTTACATTTACAAAAGATCACAAAAGGTTCCTCAGTAAAAGAAATTCACTTTCCTGAGCATTTGCTTTGGATAAACTTGATTTAAATGCAAAATATATGCAGAATTCTTCAACTCACCGATATTTACATAATGGCGGTCGAGCGTGACAAGTCTCGGAGAGAGTGAATGCTACTGCGCTTGTCAACCCCTGACAGTGTCCCTTTAACGCTCCAAAGCACACACAAAAATATAGACTGCTCAGGCTTTTAATGACGTTGATCTACCTTCCTCGACGTAAAAGGAACTCGAACTTCACCAATACGTTTTGGACGCTTCACCAACTGGCTATAAAGTGGAGTTCCAGAGTTTTTAACGTACATCTGGTTACTCCTCACCGGAAAGTAAAATGAAAAATTCGAAATCAGGCTATTAATGATATTGATCTACCTTCCTCGACGTAAAAAGAACTCGTACTTCACCAAAACCTTTTGGACGCTTCACCAACTGGCTTTCAAGTGGAGTTCCAGAGTTTTTAACGCACATATGGTTACTCCTCACCGGAAAGTAAAATGAAAAATTCGAAATAGCAAGTGCTTGATGATATATGTACACTTGCTGTGTTAAGAGGCCAATGTGAAATAAGAAAAAGCTGGTGACTTTTAACCCTTTAACCCCCAAAGAGCAGCAAGCATCTAATTTCCCCTTATAATATCACTCCTGAATCAAACATTAAGGTGAGGAGAATAAAGGAAATGATCATTATCAAAAGAAGCTCTTGACTGTTAAAGAAATTCTCCCTATAAGCATCCTGGGAAATGCATGGAGAACAGCATGAAGAATATGCATGTTAATGTTAGGGTGTAAAGGGATAACCTATGCAGAAACTGAACAGGTCCACCCTTATTACAGCACTCAGTTTCAAACGAAGCTCAGTGATGATTTTATTCGAGGCTTTACCCCGAATATTCGAGGCGTTACCCTGAATACCATAAGAAGTTCTTTTATCAATTACTCACTCTTCACGTTTATTCTTTTAAACCTTGTATTGTTTACGATACACAGCAAAAACTATTGATCAAAGGAGGTCTTTAGTAACAGAACTACAACTTTCAAATATCAGTGAAGACGTCGGAAATTTTTGGCGCGAGTTAGCACCAAAACTAGGAATTCCTTCATCAAAAGTCCAGAACCTGGACGAAGATTGCAGATGTAACTGGGACAAAGCAAACTCCCTTCTTATTGCGTGGAAACAGAAAAACGGAAAGGGTGCAACAGCAGGACTTCTTTCGGATGCTTTAGGGAGTATAGGAAGAAAAAATATCGCGGAAAGACTGCTTGGTGAGTGGCTGACGTATGTGGAATAAGCTATGGTAGCCATCACAACTCATGAAGTAGAACTCCTGGTTAGCTCGAGTTTTTGATTGAGTCTCTATACCCTTAGAGTTAGTTTTCTCATATATTTTTTTTTCTCCTTTGAAGTCAGCTGGCTCAGAGTCTTCTACTTCGAAGCTCTTTTCGCTATTCTGGTCAGCTCAATTATCACTGTCTTTCTGATCGTAATATGTGCTGCTGCATTTTTGAGGCATTAAGGCATTCTTAAATGTTTACTTACGGTGAAGGGGTATTTATGTGCATTTCCCCTCCCCTCCCCCCAATAAAATCGCGAGTTTAAAAAAATATTGGCATTCCCTTAAGTACCAGTTAGGATCACTTGACGGAGAATAATGCCAAAACCTCCTAAATAGTTCACTTCTTTGGTTTTCCTTCTCAACATTTTTTTTAAGAAATGTGTCATGAAAATCTGTCCAAAAAACCGATTGTTGACGAGGGCGATGTTATCAGTTTAACAGTGTTGGATTCAAATCGTAACAACAAGGTTTGTAGCTTAATATTACAAAGAATAAATGTTTCATTGCAAAAATGCTTTCAAACTTAAAAATTGATGGTAGAATTTTTCAGTCTTACGACGCCTTATATTCAGTTCATACAGAATTCTTAGTCTCTTCTGCTAATAGGATGCTGATTTGGACATTATCGTTTCACTGCAGCCGATTCTATGCAAAGATACACAAGGAAATTTATACGTGGTGAAACCTCTGAGCAAAAGGGAAGAGTTCCGAAGTTCGGATTTTGACGAGGTATTTTTATTGCCCAGTAATCTAAGGATAGCTCTTAAAACCTAATACAAAAAGTGAGCACCAACCAAGATTTAAAGGCAACAAAGTATGATATTTAACGCCGTTGGGAAAAAAAAACCCTACAAATTACACGAAATTAGCATATTTTTTGCAGAATCATTGTGAGCTCATTTTTGTTTTAAAATAACTTTCGTCTGTGAAGAAACCGCGTGTTTGCGAGTCCTTCTAAATAAGCCTGGTGAAACCACAGTCTAAAATAGGCTGCAAAATGATCAGGTGTTCTTTTTGGAATCGTCAAAAGCCGGTCAAGTTCCTCAGTAAGGTCCAATTATACGAGATTTTAAGTTTTCACTTAGACTACTTATCTTTGTAACGAGTCCAGGAAACCCTCCCCTGTTTTACTCATAGATGTGACTCACAAAAAAGAGAGGATGCGCTCAACTCCTCATTTTTTTTGTCAAGAATTAGGCTACTGACCTGCGCCAATCAATTGCTTGACAAAGAGATTTTCTTTTAAAGGCTGTTGCTGTGTCCACTCAAGGAGTTGCCATGGAAACAGAACAAACATCATTTTTACGCCAAAATAGCCTTGTCAGGACGAGATCAGGGGTTCAAGAACTAAGGCGGCAACTGAAAAAAGTAAAAATAGATAGCGGCAACGAAGAATCAAGTGATAAAGTTCAAAGTGGCCAAGATAGAGATGACACAAAACCAAATAGCAACCATTCCTCTGTCGATGAATGGTTACGCTTTTGTGAAGAACAGTGCAGTTCTTGTGAAGGAATAACTGTTTCTCTCATCAAGCTGATTTGTGTGGTTGCTGGTGAGATGATGAAAGACAATTCGAAGTGTATTCATCCTCTCTTGGAGTTAACAATGGAATTGAAGGACCGAGAAAGCACATTTTTCTCCCGAATTGAATCGGCACACAATCAAATCCATCGTTTCAATAAGAATCAAATTGCTCGACTTGAACAACTAGAAAAGTGGAGAAGGGAACAAAAACAACGTGTTGAAGAAGTCGAAAAGCTACTTTCAGATCTGCTTTATCAGGGAAATGTAGAAAGAAAGCAATCTCAGTGGAAATTGGAAAGAAGTCAGGTATTTTCAATAGTCATTTCCTTCTTTCTAGGCGAACAACTTTACCGAGTTAGTGACTCAATTTGAATGTACTGCGTTACTCTATCTTGGGGTTAAACCCAGCTTTTTAATTTTCTATTGCATGTTATATCTGATCAGTAAGCTTCAGTTTCTTTTGAACGGATATTGTGTATTGTACAGACGGCTCTTAACTTCTCGTGTTTCCCGAGTGTTATATTCCGGTCTTGATAGCCTAAAGACCTGACAAGTCAACAGTTAAATGTAAATACAATCCCTCTCACGCTTTATAATTAATAACTTATTTGTGTTTTAGCGAACTAAAACCGATCTAAAGAACAGACATCAAAGTATGAATGAATGTTCAGGCGTGGACGACATAATGGTCATATCAGAGCCACTGCTATTTCAACGCATGACATTGATGAAGACGTGCAAGAGGTTTAACAAGGAGAGGTAATCAGCGAATGTCCTTAGCTGTTTTAAATTGATAGTTACCCTGAGCTTTTGGTTATTTTTCAAGACGATGTTTTGATCTTCGAATTCCGAAAATCACACGGGGATAAGGCGTTTATTGACACGGACTTTTTGATTGCAAAGTAGTAGGACTTAGCGACTCGTTTGATTCCAATACCCGTCATTTCATGGAAAATCAAAGAAGTCGAGATGTCCATTCTATATTTACAGTCTCATTTCAACTGTTGGCTGGCGGTTGCTATAAGTGATTTACTTCTTTCGGCGTCTCTATGGTGTTACAGGAAAGTGCATTCTTTCACTCACTATCCTCAGAACTGATTAAAAAAAAAGTGCCGAGTGACGTCACGACGTGGTAAAAAAATATGACGTAAGCTTTCCCAGCGAAGTGTGTCGCTGATGTTCTTACCACATTTTAACGCCTTTTGGGGTCTATCATTTTATATATACTGAGATTTATACCGTGAAGTCATCGTTCGTGTCTCTGATTGGACGAGCGATGTATTTTCCCACTCGTTCGCTTCCAATCTGTGAAATGTGTCGCTCAGAGAGAAGAGATCTCAGTACTTTGAAAATGAAATGAAAACATCATACCATGAAAAGTGCCTCAACGATTTTTATTCACTCGTTGTGATGTCTCAAAAAGCACACTTGTTCGCTGCGCTCGTTTGTTGTTATATATATATATATTAAACCCCTGAAGAGTGAAGCGATTCACGAAACAGGCTTGTCGGGAAATGTAGTTACGTCCTTTTTTTCCTCTCATAATATTTATTCTGCTCTGCTTCAACGTATTGAGCACTGTTCCACGCGAAAATCGACTTGCAGACTTCCTATATATATATATATATATATATATATATATATATATATATATATATATAT